CCCAGTGCCCAGAGCTGAGGCTTCAGCACCCTGAACCCGGTAGGTATCATGCACCGATCCGCACCTGGACTTGCAAACCTCACGACACCACAGCTCGCTGCACCGTCGCAGCAGCAGCCGCCAATGTCCTCTACCATAGAAGCCGCAGCCGCGGTCAGCCGTCGGGCCGGTGTTTCGGGCGGCACCGTTAGCCGTCGGTCGGCGAATTCCAGGGCCTGAGTCTGACCGGCGGCGCCTCCCACAGGCACTCAGGCACGCCGCAGACGCCGCACCCGCAGAGGTATGGAGGCCGTCCCAGGTGACCGGACCAGCTGGTCGCACGGCGAACTAGACAGCAACACCTGCTCCACATGGAACTATGAGGCTGGAATTCATGGAGGCGGAAGATGAGCTAGACGGACGGACACCTGCTCCACAAAAAGAGCTCTGCGGATATTATACGATGCGGGCAGGGGAGATGCACACAATTCCAGGGATAAAACTTTATGCAAGCATCCAATTTGTAACATAAAACATTGTGAAACGTTCACCTGTGTTTCCAGAGAACATTCGATGTAATATCGCAGCCGTAAAATCACAAGCTAAACAAGCATTCACGCTTCCGTGACTTCTTTTACACAAAGTCCATGCATCACATATGCAACCATAAACTCCTTAGCAGGCCTAAAACCCAGGCTTTGCGAGGGCGTAACCGCATCATATACCGTGCTACACCCGGATATATCCAGCAGAAGCGGTGGGGGCGGGGCGTCCACCACCCACTGAACTCTGCACGATGCATTCAGTGCAGGCTCGGTCCAGCAGCACGTGATGGGAGGCACAGGCGGTACGAGTGACACTAACAAACGGCCTGTGTCAGTCGAGCGAGTACCGACCTTGCTCGGGTTCACGTGTCTCCCGCCACGTGCCATCCTTTGAACCCTCCCCCCAACCAAGCTGGTGATGCTAAACGGCTGGAGGGACCAAACTGGAGGGGGATAGGCTGGCTGGAGGACAGCAGGCGATTTAGGCAGAAGGGACAAACGCCAGGCAGCGGGGTGTCCCGAGAAGCGCCCGCCGGCCGGCCAGACACAGGCGATACATCACCCGGCTAATCACCCTCGCCCGGTCGAGAGGCGTCAGCTGGGGCGAACCTCATCACCCGGCCGGTCACAGCACCCAGTGGGGTGTGGCGTGGTACGCGCGGGTGTATCGGCGCGGCACCCCGTCTGGCGCAGCATCACAACAACCTGTCCGGGCGTGGAAGCGGCCCAGGCCGCAGGTGGCTCAAACTAAATTATGGTTATGGGTACCGGCGCTGTAACAACAAACGGTGGGAGGTATCATGGGATCCAGGGTATTAGCGTCACAAAAACGAAGGTATGTAGATATTTACAGCATCCCAAGTAGTCTAAGATTACATTACATTGCATGCATGCTTCAGACCTATGTGGTAAAAGAAAGAGATGAGCAATGAGCATTGAACCTCCCTTTCTGTTGCCTCATAAGTCCAGCTATAGCACGATAGCTGCCGTCTAAAAACGTTTAATGAGAGGAAGCACCCCACACAGCCAGCTCCCGGCGGGAGTGTTCTGCTTTATCCGGGCACCCATCGGGTGCACAGTTTCTCTCGGCGGGGTGCCTGGCCGCCGCCCCGGGAGATTGTCAGACCGATCTGGTTCGTGGCCAGGAGTCGGTCGGATGGCCATGGTCCGCGTCAGGTCCACAGTAAACACAGTTCGACCGACCGACGGGCGACGGGTGGGTCCTGTCGCGAACCGTACCGTACCGAACTAACCGAGAGGCAGACAGGTCTGCCCTCACACATTCCGCACCTGATTCCGCCTCGAAACAGGCCGTTTGGCCTCAGTTTGGAGATGACATTTGACGTAATCCGTGCATTAACCCTCGCATGTGTGCGGCGTTTGCCAGCTTCTAATGTGTAGGGGGGGGGGGGGTCGGTTGGACCCCCCCCTTGCCGTTTGGCCCCTGATCGAGCTAGAGCTTCGCGAAAAAAACGAGCGTGTTGCCCGTGACGAGAGGAAGCCGATGATACCCAATTTTAAGGTCCTAGGTCATTGGTTGACCTTCCAGGTCAGGTCAATGACCCAAAGTCGGGAAAATCGGGACCTGTTATAAAGTCGTAAAGTGTGGCTGCTAAGGGGTTTTTCGGGGTGCTGATCACGAATATCGTGTTAGTTTTGATCACATATGATGTCTTGAAGCATTTAGACCAGGTCGGGTCAGGTCAGGTCAGGTCAACCAGTAGGCGTCGTGACGGGTATTCGTAATACGTGTCAACCGCCTCTGACAGCTTCGTAACATGTTACGAAGTCACCAAAACTACTTCGTAAATGTTCAAATGGTTGCTAAATTCGAATTCAGCTCCAAAAACTAGCCTAGAAACATGTAAAACTCGAAAAAGTGACCCGAGGTCACCCGAGGTCACCAAAGGTCAATGACCTGACCTGACCTTCAGGTGACCTTGACACACACGGGAGTAACATCAAATCACATGTTTGAACGTTTGAAACCACGAAAGGCTTGCAAACACGCGGCTAGTGCGAGCCGACATACGCGAAATCGCGATTCCGGCCAAACATGGTCTCGGAAAAGAGGTCACAGGTCAAAGGTCATTTGGGTCAGGGTCATGAAATTTTCAGGGTAGGTGTAAAATTGATCAATGTGAGGGTACTGAAAGTTTCGTCGCGATCGGCCGCTTTTTACGCGAGTTATTCGCGAAAAACCATGGGGGGGGTCCATCCGACCCCCCCCCCCCCTACACATGCGAGGGTTAAAGGAAATAGTTCACTTTCACGAAATTATTTTTTTTTGCAACGGATTTATGATTTTTTATGTTCAAAATAATCAGCAAAGAAAATAAAACCTTTTTATAACAAAATATTATTTTCTATATTTTGATATAGGAAGAACTTTTCAGTTTCTGTAAGGCACACGCGATCCAGTATGAAAAGAGCATGGGTCCCGAAAATTCTTCAGAAACAGAGAAATTATCGCAGCCACCGGCATTTGGGCGATCTGCTCGATCTGATAATGTTCCCCTGAATGTCCTAATTGATCAGTACGAGAATTTCTCTAGAGTTCTCGTAGATAATTTCTCTAGTTTCTGAAGAATTTTCGGGACCCATGCTCTTTTCATACTGGATGGAAATATATGCAAGGCACACATCCTCAACGCAAGACACCTTTTTCGGGACGAGAAATAGAATATCTTTGCTAGGGTGATCGTTGGGCTGTAAAAGCTCCTGATTTATGCTCGTCTCAGCCCAAGCTACGGAACTGCTATTCCAGTTCAAAACCCATGTTAAAAAGTGAACTATTTCCTTTAAATGCGACAGTGGGGCTTTTTAGGATCATCTCATTTGCCCTTGAAAGCCAGACGACACAAAGCTGACATGACAAAAACGGATATGAGGCCATCTCCGTAGAGACATTCCTGGTTGGCAGTTAACAGGGCCAGTCGTTTCTTGCAATTTTCCAGCTTAAAAATTCCAACATAAAAATGTTGAGGTCAGCGAATGGATGAAGAAAAACATCACCTTTTGGAGATAGACATCAAGCAAATGTAAGAAGTAAGAACAATACACGGGCCGCGGGCGTGTACCTTTCCATGTGTAGTGTCACAATCCATCCGTTTGGTTGAATTTCACCAAAAGGCATGTCCGTCCCGGGCCTCAAGTTTCCGTCAATGACGTGAAAACGAAACCGTGAGAGCATGGCGTCCAATTCCGACCAACTGATGGGCAGCTAGAAAGGTAGCCAGTGAGTGGAGACGCCGCAGCAAACCCTGTCATTTACGGCTGCACGCGAGCTTATATATCACGAAGTGTGGTGGCCTCTCATGGGTTCCACTGCCGCACAGCGTGTGCACTGTGCATTGTGCAACATAGTATTGTTGGTAAGAAGGCACAAATACTGGTAAACAGCATGAAAAATGGTAGCATCAGCATGATATACATCGGCTCTGAGAGGGATAATGCATGACTGCCATCGTGCCACGCCATAAATGCTGAAGACTCGAAGAGAGCCAGCCCTGACTCGCATGAGATCTCTATGCCCGGACTGACCATCCGACCTCAGATAAATACAGCAGCGGCAGCGAACTTCGTGGCAGCTTACCATGACCCCATAGCTCGCAAGTTGCAAATGCAGCGTACCCTGTCTCATTAACTGCGCGATAGAACAGCTAAAACGGTTATAAATGTTTGCTTTAGTTCCTGCGCCGCTAATACGAAAGCCGGACGTTCTGGCAGTTGATAAAATCTGAGTGCAAATGTCACTTCATCGTGTAAAGACGTGTCATGACAACGTGATGTCATGCAGAACTGAGGGGTTTACTTTTGACACAGTGCAAGCAATCCATACGCATTGCACATTGTAGCAAATGGTCGGACGGACGAAATACTCGCTTGGAAAGATGGGTGTTTTTAGCCAGCCCCATCTGACTGATCGTCTAGACAACCGAAGGCCATTCATTTTTGGGATGTCGGAATCGTTCGCGTATTTCTTATGCTTGGACATCCAGCTTCGGGCATGGTCTGGGACACATAGACATTGGACGTCTACATAGAAATCTGCATGGATGCTACATGGACCTCTACATGGATGTCGACAAGAACGTCTAAAGAATGCTCTAAATAAAGTGTGATATTTACAGGCAATACATCATAAAACAGGACGGACTGTCGTATTTTTACCATGGCGGTCAGGTGACAGTGTGAGGAAAAATGTTTAAAACCGAAATTCAAAATGCTCGTTCAATCAAAAAGACGGTCCATAGACTTCCGAATTAATTAGAAAGAAGTGCATCACATGCCTACATCTTATAAATGATGCCGAAGCCGATAGCCAAACTACTTGGACCTCATCGCATTGCACAGACCAACTGAGACCGTTTCAGAAATCTGAAAAAATCGTATAACACCATTACCAATAATTTTTCAAAATGCAACATCAACATGCAACGTGAAAGAACACACACACACACTCATCCTCCTTACCTCTCAGACGACTCCTCGACTCCCCTATCTCACGACTCCCGTCGCAGAGGACTGCTCCTCTCCTCTGTAACTCTCCTGGCGGCTCAATCGCCGGCCCTTGCCCTCTCGACCAGCCACAGGACACCCCACGAACAGCGATGACGGAACACTGAACTGAGTTCGCGGCCTCGCGGTCGCTCGCGCCGCAGCGCCGGCGATTACACTGCCATCTGCCGTCAGAATGGAACACTAGAGCGGGGACATTCGCAGAGCCGCCTGTGACTAAACGAGGCGTCCCATCTTCTTCAATCGTCATAACTGGAAAATTGACTGAGACGATAGCTTCAAATACACGGTCTAACTCCAGTTAAAAGTGCGATCAGTTCCCCTGAAAATGGTCTAACCTGTTAGTTGTTAGTTCGATGGCGGAAAAGAACAATTTGCTATGACTCCGAATGGAAACGCCGATGGCCAAAAAAATCATTGCTTTATATCTGGCTCGCAATAAGGTATTCTTCCTGTCTATATCCTCCAAGCCATACAATTTCATCCTTGTACACCCTTCCTATTCCAGACTGACGGTCGTCCCACTACGCAATCGATCGACACTCGATGTCAGATCGCGGAGTGAAATGGGCAATGACATATTATGATATTGATATGCATATGAAGTGCAGACCGTTTATAAGGCTGGGTGGCCTGTGTGACAAACAGAAATGTGTCTCGCCTTGATACGTTTGTCTCAACTAGACGGCCGTGAACCTGTAGTCCGGCTCATGAGGCATTGAAGAGAATATGCTGTCGTTGAATCGATTAGCACTTGATTCATCATTATAATTGGAAAATGATTTTCTGAGACTGATTCAAAGCACATTGCCTGAAGTCATCAACGCGACAGCGCTAGTTCACATGAAGATAATTATTTTATTGGGATTTTTTCCATAAAATCAACAGTCCCGTGAGAGTTTCACTGACAATCGCTCTATCATGTCGGGACCATCCTTCCACTAATAATTCGAAGGCTATTGAAGTGCCGTTATACGGCTGTGATGTGTGACGTCTAATGATCTTTTGAAATGATCCTCGAAATGTGATTATTATTTCCATCCGAGTGTCAGCCGAACTATTGGAACGTGACTGACTGGCCGAGATGGGATCAAATTTCACACCCAGTGGAGCGGACCAGCATCAAAGGCGTCTATATGACTCGACACTGACATCGCCAAAGTGAACCGTGAGGAAAGGAAGGGGCCTTTCACTATATGCGGCATTTTTGGTGTGTGATGATTCACTGACATTCGTAGTGGTCACGATCTGCTTTCCCGCAGAGCATGAATGACCTATCCTTGCGATATGTTTAAAATAAGATAAAATGACTCGCGTAGCGCCGAGTCATGAAAAGGTTAGAATCATGGCTCATGAAGGCTCTTAATGGGCTTTCATGGACCAATTCTTGCATGTGCGAGGCACAACCAAACGTGCTGTCTTAAAATCCAATATTAGGGGAGAGTGGGGAAAGATGCCCAGGGTTTTGCTTTGTCATATATTATTCGAAAATGACGATCGGAAAGCAAAAACTTGGAGTTTCAACGGAAGCCGACATCATTTTTCTCGAAAAACATCACACTTTCGTGCCTGAAATATGATAACTTTTTTGCTATTAAGCATTTTCCTGAAGAAGTGAAAGGGGGCATCTTACCCCACAGGGTGGGAAAGACGCCCCCTGGGGTTGGGGAAGATGCCCCCTGCACTATAAGTGACATAAATGGGCACGTGAATCGCCTGAACGAATCAGTAGTCCCTTCGAGCCTGCAGTAGACACCAAACGTCATCGTAAGGGCCCTCAAAAGTAGTCGTAAGGGGCTTCAGAGGTCATCGTTAGGGCCTGATCATAGTCCAGCGCGGCCAAACAAGCCTCCGTGGTGGCGTTCGGAGACCACTGTGGGGTCCTTATAGGTCTTCATGATTCTTGAGAGCCCTCGAGCCCATCGTGGGGACCTCAGATGCCAGCGCGGCCCGTGGAGCCAACGTGGGAGCCCTCAAAGGATGTCGTGAGGGGCCCTGGAGCCAATAATGGGGCCCACAGAGGCCGTCGTGAGGGCTCTCAGAGTCAGATGCCGCCCAAAAAGTCGCTGTGTGGGCCGAGAGACCGGCATGGGGAGCACCCGACCGTACTGGACTCTCAATAGTCCCAGATCGGCTTTTGTCTCTCATTACAAGTATGTAATAAATGATTTGACGGGCTGCTTGAAGGACAGCCTACGGATTTAGGGGGGCGTCTTTCCCCATCAGGACAGGGGGCATCTTACCCCAAGGTACCGAAGTAACATTAAATCAGTACAATTTGTTAGCCATAAAACTACACCCTGAAACAAACTGTTTGGGACACAGTACACGCATGTTAATGTATCACGACTATAGCAAGGGACGCAAAAATTATCCACGTTCTTTGATATTTACAATGTTTTGACATCAAAATATTTTTTGAAAGCAGCAAATAAAAAACATACAATCACCAGCCAGCCGTTGCCCAACTGAGCTTCGCAAATTTTTGTGCAGTTAGCAAGGCAGGCTTCCGCTTTACGCTAAGAACATTAATTTCCAGGTTCGATACTTTGTTTCCCCGCTAGAGGGGGTGGGGCGTCTTTCCCACCCTGGGCATCTTACCCCACTCTCCCCTACTCAACACAGTATATAAACATTTGCATGGTACGTAGAGCATGACAGAAGCTCATTTCCACTTTGAATAATGGCACTTGCTTCTTGAAGCTTGAGCCGCCGACAGCTTTAAGAGCAGGGCAGACATTTTACATTGTTGTTGTAGCAGTCACCTGGCTTACGCCGACTTTCAAGTTTCGAAACCCCTTCAACAATAACCGCTTGCGTAAGTCTGAGCACATGCAGTACCGCCCTCGCAGTGCAGGCCAAGCTCGTACCTTGAAAGGACAACAAAGGACCATTCGTCTTGCGAGTGCTGCACTGCGGAACTAAAAAAGCTACCGGACGCCACTTGGCGCCAGCTCCCGTCACGACTCGACTAACACCCGTCGATCCGTGCAGCGTCACACGCCGTGACGGTGCGCGCCGCGTCACAGGCGTCACGGGGGCGCGTCATGGAGGTAGTTTACAGTGTTACAGCGCGTCACGAGGGCACGCGTCACGGCCGGTGAGGTGACGGGGATGTGCAGAGAGACAGGAGTTGGCTACCTCCCAGCTTGGTGGTGGCGTAAGTCGCCCCCAGGCGCGGCAAGTCACCCTGTGTGTCTTGCGGCGGGTTGATACCCCCGCCGAGATTTGGCAGCGGGATGTCTGACTCTTCCGCGCTGGGAGAGGGTGACTAATGACTGGGACGATCGAAAACGGAAATATGACCCGTGATGGATCTCGATGTCATTCAGGGGTAATCATTGGCTTGGGAGCGTGACGGTTGTAAAAAGACGTCGCACATTGCGTAGTTGATGTCTGATGAATGATGTTTGCGAAGCGGAATAATTTTCTCACTGAAGTGGAGCTTTGTATATTTTTGTAACAGATGTTGCAATTAGTAAGCGGCATTGGCCAAAAGAAAAACTATGAAATCCAATTCAACATGCATTTGCGAACGATCTTGTGAGCAGAACAGATTGCAACAAACAGTTATGAATAAACAATGGTTAGAAATTGTATGCCTCCGTTCCTCGACTTTCATCCATAAAATGTGAGAAGGTGCGGTTGAGCTACTAGTTAGACGACGATTGACAGTGAACAGACTGCATTACATTACACATACACAGCAACAGCCCATTCACTGCTTCTTCACTGACCACTGTACAGTTCGCTGATTTATGTGGATGTCACCTGAACGGCACAGGCCACTAGCTGTAAATCTGATGTGGAGGTGGACTCTATAGGGTCTGTTCCAGTCGCACTTCCTAACACCTCTAAACTCTTCCAAGGTTGCTTCCCTGTTCCAGTGGCAGCTCTAGTCCCTACAAAGCCAAGGAGGGCCCTGCTCCAACCTCCTCTATCTTGATCTTGGAGGAGTTTAGAGGCGTTAGGAAGTGCGACTGGAACAGACCCATAGTCTCTCCCCTACCCCCATCACTGCTGTAGAGTATAGAGGTCACCTGAGCCAGGAGGCCGCTCCTGTGGACTCTACCCCTGTATCCTTGTCGCTGAGGGGTCACCTGACCGGACAGGTCGCCCTGTGGACCCTACCGTGGACTCTACCCCTCTGTTATGTTCGTACCGGCCGTTTTGTGTGATCAGCTGCCGGTAAGTCTCGGATGACCAACTGTACGACGCCCCGTGACGCGACGGCAGGGGAGACGCCCCATCCCCACCTCCGTCCCCACATCCGGGCAGGGGGGAAGGGACATCCGGCGGTGTCTGAGGCTACCCCGTTCACCTGCTCTTTCGGCCCCTCTGCACCCCTCGACGGACTGACTGATCCGGGACGGATGCAGGATGTTTTGATGGAGAGGGGCAAGGAGGATGCGTGGGAACGATTCGAGATCGCATCTGATTCTAATTCCGCCGCTCTCAGAGGTTTAAATGCTAAAACGCTAGGCTGGCTTCCGGAAGAAGGCCTGGGTTTTAAATGATGGGGGTTAGCTTAATTGCCTTGGCGAGTTATCCACGTTTGTGCTTACTCCATAACCACGCCATAACCATGCCACGCCATGGCATCCCACCTGCTCTCGGATTTTCCCGACCCCCCCCCCCCCCATCCCGTCACATCCCTCCCTAATCGTCCCCTCATACCCCAGCACCCCTAAACGCCCGTGGTCCGGAATACCAGAGCTCTCGAGTCCAGGTGCAAGCATGTATTTGCCACTGCTCTGATCACGTGCACGCATTCCTACACGGCAGCCCGACCATCCGGCTCGGATCAGGGGTGCCGGTAGCAGGGCAGGGTCGGGGACCCACTCCCCGGCGAGCGTGCCTCTGTGAACGCTGGGAAACCCACTGCGCGCAGGCACGCGTCTGTCAAGGGACTGGACGGACTGCAGGGAACGTATTGGTGTCATGTGCTTTTTACGTGGACTCATTCGAGTGTCACGTCAGTCTTTGCCGATGAAAGTCATAGCATGGATGGTAAACGACTGGCAAACGATTTGATCAAACGATTAATTATCTCATCTGACCTGTTCATATAACGTTGACATCCAGGTCATTCCTTTCTTCATGGTTT